AAGAACTAAAAGAAACCATGCTTGAAGAACAAAGAAAAGCATGAGCACTGTGCTTCACCAAATAAAGAATATCAATAAATAGATAGAAATCATTTAAAAGTAAAAATCAAATAGAAAGTCTGGACTTGAAAACAAAAAATAGAGGGGATCAAAATCGACTCGACCTGGCGGAAGAAAGAATCGGTAGACTTGAAGACAGATCACTTGAGATTACCCAGTCTAATCAAAAGAAAGAAAAAGGAATGAAGGAAGGTGCACAGAGCCTCAGAGAGCTGCAGGACGCCATCAAACTACTAACTTCCATATAGAAGGAATCCTAGAGGAAGAATAAAGTGGAAGAAAGAATATTTGAAGAGATAATGGCCAGAGCTTCTCAAATTTGAGGAAAATCTGCACCAAATCTGTATCTCCGAGAAGCTCAACAAACTGCAAGTAATATAAACACGAAGAGAGCCACGCACAGGTGTGTCATAGTCAAGCCGTCAAAAGCCAAGACAGCATCTCGAGCGACGAGGGCAGCGGGAGAAGGGATGCAGCCCTACTAACCCCCAACCGTGACGGGACTTCCAGAAGGCGGCTGCCGGACACAATCCAGGTGGAATGTGAGGTAACAATCGTTTGCGAGTCGGCGGCGGCCACCCCACCAGTGCAAAGATGAAGACAGGGAAGTCCTTGTCTCTGCCCCTCAGCGTCTCTCCCTTCCTGGCCCTCCCTGCCCTGTGGTCAGGCCTGAGAGGGCCCAGGGGTCACAGCTGGCAGCGTCAGGGCTCTGTGAGGTGACAATGACTCCCTGCCCTCTGAGGGCCACAGGCCTTGCCCAGTTGGGAGACAGCTAAGCAGTAAGTAACTGTTGCCTTTCGTATTGGTTCCAAGCATAGAGTTTTATAAGACATTTTCCTTTAAAGTAAGTTCCTGTCCTGAAGTTCCTAGTGAAGATTCGGCGTGTCCCTTTGACTCACGGTTTTCTAACCCTGTAGATACACATTCACAGTCTTGTGTTATGCTTTATATCCGAATATGCGTCTGAATATCTTATGCTTGATATCTAAATAGACACCCAATACGTATTGGATATTGTACTTAATGTATCTCTTCCTCAAAGATAATTTGGTTGTGAGCAAAACTTGCGGATGAATTTTTCTCTAACGTTCGAACCCAGAGACTCCCCTTCACTCGGCTGCCTTTTACTTAACCTGTACTTGCCCTGGATGCTGGGGGCGGGGATGGGAGACAAAGTGTCCCCAGTGGGACAGGAGGGGCATCGGCTCAGTCCGAGCTTGGAGGCAGGAGTGTCAGGCGAGGCTGCTAGAGGAGGTGACGAGTCCTGAAGGGTAGGCTCGGGGAGGGGAGGTGGGGTTGGGCAGGCTGCCCAGGGAGACAGAGCAGCTCGGCGGACTGAGGGGCCGTGCGTGGCCAGGGCCGAGGCGTCGGGGATGGGGGCTGAGAGAGAGGGCAGAGGGTTTCTGTTCAGCGAGCACCTGCCCTGTGCCAGGTACTGAGCCAGGCACTCGACACGTGGGACCAGAGCGAGGCCCGGTGTCATGGAAGCCCCGGGAAGGAGCCCCAAATGGACCAATGTCTGCGCCGCCCGGAGGTCAGGGAGGACAAAGGGCTGAGTAACAAGTGAGCTTGACAAGATGGTTTCGGGGACTAAGGGGGCCAGAGGTGGGGGCGGGGGAGGTGAACCTGCAGCGCAGGCTCGGGCTGCCCTCGGGGCAGGACCGGCCAGGGGGCTGGGGGCCCACTAGGGGGCCGCCTGGACCTGGGGGTGCTGCAGTGAGGGTGCAGCGGCCCGGCCCAGCAGAGGGAGTGGCTGCAGGGACGGGGCCAGCGTCCAAATTGCTTAATGTCATCCTTAAGTCGTCACTGGTAGTGCCCCTCCTGACTCGTACACACATGTTCCTAGTGCAAACCCTGGCCCGATGGTGTTCACAGGCAGCCCCGCTTGAGGATGTACAGCGCTTCCAGCACTTACCAGCAGAATCCTGATTCACCCTCTTAATTGTTTATATGGGTTTGTAGCCTACTCAAGCCTGAGTTACATAATGGGGTCAACCAAGGCGCCGATCCCAGAGTCTGGTTGAGAGGATGCAACAGGGGAAGCCGGTGAATGCCCCGCGTGACAGGGCTGAGTACATGTGCGGGTGGCTGACGCTGTTACTGACTTTATCATCAGAAGGCTGGTTGCTGCTGACGGCTATCCTGGACCCCAGCTGACCCCCTAGAGTTCCCTAACCCAGGTCAGCGAAGGCTTGTCGGGGGCCTGCTTTGTGCTCTCATAGAGGGCAGGAATAAACGGAGGGCCTTGGAGAAGGAGGCACTTTCTCCCACCTTGAGAAACAGTTACATAAATGGGACCAATAACCATAATGCAACATAGAAAAAGTTCCAAAATTCAATGAAACTCAGTTCAAGTCAACCTATATTTTCACCAATCACCTCCTATGCCCATAGCTTCCTGTTAGAGACCGGGTTACGGGGCGGCAGCAGGGCATGCCCACACCTCTAGTTCCAACCGAGCACAACCAGTAAATAAGGGGAGTCAGTAGACACCGTAGTAGCAAGAAGGTGGTGATTAGCTGTGTCTGGAGGGTACAAGTAGGTTTTTTTTTTTTTAAGATTTTATTTATTCATGAGAGACACAGAGAGAGAGAGAGGCAGAGATACAGGAGGAGAGAGAAGCAGGCTCCTTGCAGGGAGCCCGACGTGGGACTTGATCCCGGGACTCCAGGACCACGCCCTGAGCTGAAGGCAGATGCTAAACCTCTGAGACACCCAGGATACCCCCCCTTTTTTTTTAGGACTTCTTTATTTATTTGAGAGAGACAGAGAAAGAGAGAGCGAGCGAGAACACATACACACGGCGGGGCGGGGCGGAGGGAGAGAGCATCCCAAGGAGACTCCTCGTTGAGCACCAAGCCCGATGCTCCTTCTCACAACCCTGAGATCACAACCTGAGCCAAAAACCAAGAATCTGTCGCTTAACTCACTGGCCACCCGGGTGCCACGGAGGGTCCAAGTAACTGTCAGAGGGGACGGTGTGGACAGGAATTCTAGCCCATGATGGAGGGGAAGGCGACCTGTGCAGAGGATGCAGCCCGTTCCTTGGCTCAGAGGCAGGGGCCGAGGGTCTTGTCCGCAGAACTGGGTGTAGCCTGTTCTTACCGAGCCTTAGCTTTGGGGACAGTGGGAAAGTAAAGGGAATGACAAACAGGACTTAGGTGGCAGAGGCCCTCACCCGGTTGTTTGGATTTGACCCCTGGGGTCTTTGGAACTTTGTGAGCAGGTGTGATGTGATGCTTTTTAGAAACGCTCCGGGGCTACACAGGGGTGGGCAGGAGGGTAAGGGTAAAGCCAATCCCAGGGAGACCGCTGCGGCTGTCACAGGCTCCTGGCCTGAACCGGCGCCGTCAGTGAGGTGAGCAGGGGCTGTGCTTTCAACACGCGTTCACTGGGATGGCTGACGAGCAATCCGGAGTCTGCTGACGCTCCATTGCGTGGTGCTCGGCGAGGCCCGCCCAGAAAGTCCCAAATGGGAATCCGGGTCTTCAGCAGGTGCATGCACCCCTGCCCTCCAGGCTTCTCCCCGTTATCCCGTGTCCAGCCCTTGTCACCCCTTGTCACCCCTTGTCGTTCCTGGAGTGTCTGTGGATAGGCCTGACGGTTGCCGCATCTCATACCTCAGCTACGGGGCAAGGCGTTCCTCTTTCGGCTCCGTCCTGTTCTTCCCCTTTCTTTTCTTTCTTACCTTTCCTTCCTTTCTCCCGAGCTTATATTTTATTGTGAAATATAATACATTTACTGGAGTACGTAAAGTAGACACGTGCATCTTAGCACATTTTTATAGGGAACACACATGCAAGCAGCACCCAAGTAAAGAAATAGGATCGCCGGCCCCTCGGAAGGCCCTCGTGTCCTCGCCTAGTCACGGCCCTTACCATCACCTCCCCACCGGCAGCCACCTTCGGGACTTACGGGATTCACTTCCTCGCTGTGCCTTTTTGTGTTATCACCTATGTATATTTCCATAAATAGTAGATTTTTGCCTGTTTGGGAACTTTGTTTTTGAAATTTGTTGATCCTGCTTCTTTCTTTCAACATTGTGTTTATAGGACTCACCCGCACATTTGCACATAGCTATGCTATCCATTGACAAATACACTACCGTTTTTGTTATTTTTTTAAATATTTTTTTATTTATTTATGAGAGACCCAGAGAGAGAGAGAGAGAGGCAGAGACACAGGCAGAGGGAGAAGCAGGCTCCACGCAGGGAGCCTGACATGGGACTCAATCCCGGGTCTCCAGGATCAGGCCCTGGGCTGAAGGCAGCACTAAACCACTGAGCCACCTGGGCTGCCCCTATACTACCATTTTTAAATTCCATCCTATTGTGAGGCTCATTGGATTGTTTCCAGCGTTGAGCTTTTCTGAACAAAGCTCTGTAAACATCCTTCTTTTTTTTTAAGATTTTATTTATTTATTCATGAGAGACACGGAGAGAGGCAGAGACACAGGCAGAGGGAGAAACAGGCTCCATGCAGAAAGCCCGATGCAGGACTCGATCCCGGGACCCCGGGGTCACGCCCTGGGCCAAAGGCGGGTGCTCCACCGCTGAGCCCCCCAGACGCCCCTTCATAAACATTCTTGTTCCTGCATCCGGGGCCTGAGTCATAAGATCCTCAGGTGACATGATCTGGAAGTGCAGCTGCTGGGTTATGAAGTGTCCTCCCTGTGGGTCAGTATTGCCCCATATTGTGAGAGCTCCTCTTTCCCATTCCCTCGCCAAAATCGGCCTGGTCTCTCGCCTTACTGTTTTGAGCCTCGGTTCCCCAAAAAAGACTCTTCTACTAAAATAGGCCCCCTAGGTCAGTGGGTCTCACCCTCCGTTTCCCAGGCCCACGGGCTTGTTCTCTGGCGTGTGATACTCACGACCGTGTCTTCTGTGGTGCCCCGCAGGGTCTGACCAGCTGCCCTGGACGTGGCCGGCAGCCCTGTCCTCCGCCCCCCATTCCGGCTGCCTGAGAAGATGTTTCCCTTCAAGGTGCGCAAATGGACGGGGCTGGCTTGCCTCCGGGCCGCGGTGGGCTCTTCACCCAACGTTCGCCAGAAGAAACTAATCCACAAGCTGCAGGAGGAAAAGGCTTTCCGGGAAGAGATGAAAATTTTTCGCGAGAAAATAGAAGACTTCAGGGAGGAGATGTGGAACTTCCGAGGCAAGATCCGTGCTTTCCGGGGTCAGATCGTGGGCTTTTGGGAGGAGGAGAGACCTTTCTGGGAAGAGGAGAAAACCTTCTGGAAAGAGGAAAAAACCTTCTGGGAAATGGAAAAGTCCTTCCGAGAAGAAGAGAAGACCTTTTGGATGAAGTACCGTACCTTTTGGAAGGAGGACAAGGCCTTTTGGAAAAAGGACACCGCCTTATGGGAAAGAGACCGGAACCTTCTTCAGGAGGACAAGGCCTTGTGGGAGGAAGAGAAAGCCCTGTGGGTCGAGGAAAGGGCTCTTCTGGAGGAGGAGAAGGCCCTGTGGGAGGACAAGAAGTCCCTCTGGGAGGAAGAGAACGCCCTCTGGGAGGAGGAGAAGGCATTCTGGGTGGAAGGCGGTGGCCCTTTTGCTGAGGGGCAGGTCCCTGACGACAGGCCCGATGTCGTCGACGGGGGGCCGCCGTCACCAGCCTTCCCCCGGGGCAGAGCATGAGCACACAGGGCCCTGCTGGACGACGTGCAAGTCCAGGGGCCCCGTGCGGGAGGAAGAGGCACGTCTCGGTCTCCTTGCTTCAAAGAGCTAATAAAGTCCCGAGGCGACGTTTGCAAAAACGTCTTCCAAGAGGCCGCTGCCTGTTGTGGTTCCCGTGATCCTGAGGCCGCGTGCCCACCCCGTGTGCCCGCCTCTGCACGCAGCCTGCTCCTGGGCCCCGGCGATCCCCATGCAGGGGAGTGGGTGTGAACCGAGAGCCTCCGGCTGCCCTCGAGAGTCCGCGTGGGAAGGGAGAGAGGCCAAGCCACCTGAGCCATGCACGCCCCGGACGAGCCGCCGTGGGACGCTCACTCCGTCCGAGCCGTGTCTATGGCCTGGGGTGGCAGCTTGGGGCCCTGAAGCGCTGGCCGGGCTCCCTCCCCACTCCTGCAGGCCCCACACTTGCACCTGCACCTGCACCTGCTGCCCGGCCCGCAGCGGGAGGTGGGCTCCGGGCACCCACGGGGCAGCCACACGGACCCTGCCCATGTCTTCCCACCCACTCGGGCGTCACGGCACCGCTGTCAGCTTAGGTTCCTCTCCTTTCATTGCTTTAAAATCAAAACGTCCCGGGGAGGTCCTACCTTCCGTGAATGTACACGGGTGTGACCCGCTGCTTACACGCCCAACATTTCTTCCAGGGCCAGATGGTCCCATGGGAAGGTATGGAGAGGACCGGATCATGGGTGTCGGATACATCGAGGCACACGCCTGCTTCCCCTTTCCGAGGCCGGGCCCCCATTGTTATCAAGGCACCTGCCTTCCTTGCTCTGTGCGCCCCCCCCCCTTGCCGAGCTCTCTCCCACTCCCAGCTCACCCAGCCGTCCGCACAGCTGCCCGGGCTGGCGGGGAAGGCACGTAAGCCCACGCACAGATGTGGAGACTGAGACCCGAGAGGCGTGGTGACTTGGCACGGCCGGGCAGGCAGCCAGCGGAAGGGCTACCGGTAGGGCCCACACAGCCTCCTGGTCCCCGGCCTTCCCTGAGACCTGCTCCGGGGCGGGGAATGGGGCCATGGGACAGCTCAGCCAATAAGCCGTCAGGCCTTGGGTGAGCTCTACAGCACTCTGTATCTTCACTGAGGTTTGGGGTGGCAGTGGGGGGACGGGGAGAGCAGTGGGTGGGCCCGGGGGGGCTGAGCAAGCCCTCCTTGCCATGGGAGAGGGGGCTCGCCCCAGGAGCAGCCAGGCCTCCAGGTCCCTCTGGGAATGTCGGGTTTCTGGCAGGACCTCTGCTTCCCGGGGTCGGGGCCAGGCAGTGGGAGCAGCTTCCTCCTTTATCACCCACGCTGCCTGGCACCCTCAGGCCCCCATGGGCCCCTGGACGGGGACCTCAGCCCGCTGTGGGAACCAGGTGCCGGCGCAGAGAATCAGACTCCGGGGACGCGGCTGGGTGGCCCGACTCAGAAAGGCCTGTCTGCTGGATGGTGTTCAGGACGGGGGACCCCGGGGCAGCCGGAGCCACCGATTCAGTGGTCCCCATGGCTCTGATTCTGCCCCAGACAAAGCAAATAGAATTGTTCATCTTAAGACCAGAGAAACATAAACCCGGAGGAGCAGGAACTGGGGTGCGGTGAATAGAAAGCCCCCCCCCCACGTCCTTCAGCAGCATCCCACAGGAACCACGTGGAGACGGCTGCCTGAGGGAAGGACGGGAGGAGCTGCCCAGAGAGGACACGCGTCCCTCTGCGATGCCCGCTTCCTCCAGCAAACAGCCATGAACTCCCACTGTCCCAGGCTCTGCTCTCCTAGGCCTAGGTGGGCAGATGGCAGGTAAAGGGGCCGGTGCGGCCCGCGGTGATGCGCGCCCCGAGACCCAGAGCCGAAGAGAGCTGCTTGGCTGCCGGCAGTGGGGGGTGGGTGTGGGATCTGGAAGGGTTTTCTGGGGGAGGTGATGATGGGGTGAAGCCCACAGTCCGGGGGGAAATTAGCTAAGGGAGGGGCCCGGGGTGGGGTACGGGAGGCCAACAGAGGGCAGGAGCTGGATTTCGTCCATTCCAGACACAGCGTCTATGGCCGTGACTCTTCCCTCGCCGCTGAATTCACTCCGAGGAGCGGTCATCTTCCCTGCAAAGCCTGCGCCCACCCAGACGCTCTTACCCGGACCTACCAGAAGGGGAAGGGTAGCCTTTGTTTTTTTTAAGATTTATTTATTTTAGACACAGACGAGCAGGGGAAGGGGCAGAGGGAACGGAAGGAAGAGGATCTTAAGCAGACTCCCCCCTGAGCTGGGAGCCCAACAGGGGCCTCCGTCCCACAACCCTGAGATCATGACCCGAGCCGAGATCCCAAGTGGGTCATTTAACTGACTGAGCCTCCCAGCTGCCGCACAAGGACAGCGTTCTTGAAGTGCAGTGGGTTCCTTAGGAAGGGGGATCCGGGGATTCCTGGGTGGCGCAGTGGTTTGGAGCCTGCCTTTGGCCCAGGGCACGATCCTGGAGACCCGGGATCGAATCCCATATCGGGCTCCCGGTGCATGGAGCCTGCTTCTCCCTCTGCCTATGTCTCTGCCTCCCTCTCTCTCTCTCTCTGTGACTATCATAAATAAATAAATTTTAAAAAAAATTTAAAAAAGGAAGGCGGGATCCGTTCATGGGAGTCGCCATTGACCCCTTTAGGCTGTGGACCACAGGCCTCAGACTCAAAAATACGATTCCTGGGCTCCACCCCAGGCTGGATCTCAATTTCTGGGGACTAAGCCTTAAAACCTATATTTGAAAGCGTGTTTTCCAGGTGATTTTTATGCAAGCTAAATTCTAGAAAACACTTGTGTGTATAAAAAAAAGCACTGGGCTAGGAATCAAAGGTCCTGATTTTGCGCCCAGCCCTGCAACTCCTGGCTAAGAGCTCGAGCACCAGGTTGAGCCTCTGTTTCCTCAGCTACGGACATAGTGGACCTTCGAACTGGAGAAGCACCTGTCGGCGAGTGTGGGAAGGGAAGAGAGTCACAGCGTAGCCTCTTCAGAAAGAAATATTCCAAACTTATCCCCAAATTTCCTTCTTTTGACCCTTTAGCACCTTCGATGTGGGTGAGAGTTTAAGGGTCGCGTAAATAGTTTTTGGGAACTTTTTGGGTCACTTCTGTGTTTGTCTTAGCACCTACTCTGGAATTTGGTATCTGTTGTTTCCTGGTCCTTCAGCCAAAACGTCCTTTAAAGAGTTTGCTACGGGCAGCCCGGGTGGCTCAACGGGTTGGCGCCGCCTTCGGCCCAGGGCGTGATCCTGGAGTCCCAGGATCCAGTCCCACATCCCCTGCATGGAGCCTGCTTCTCCCTCTGCCTGTGTCTCTGCCTCTCTCTCTCTCTCTCTCTCTCTGTGTCTCTCATGAATAAATAAATAAAATCTTAAAAAAAAATAGTTCGTTACGTCTCTATGGAACCAAGGTGATTATGGGACTAATCCGCTCCAGTACGTACTTAGGATTTCAAGCTCCATCGAAGGTATCTTTCTAATCACTGTTTCTCAATGAGCCTGCCTTTGGCTTTTGGGTTAGGAAAGTCCTTCGCCGTACGGTAGTTTCTAAAACTTTTATGACAGCGTCTCTGGCCTCACAAATGCCTGCGCTGCCACCCAGCCTTTGACGACAACCAAAGTGACCCCCCATTTCCTCACATCCCAAGGGAGGTAGTTCTGCTCCATTGAGAACCGTGTTTCTTAGCTAACATCCTCGGCTAAGAGGTGGTAAGTTTTCCCGAAGCAAGGATGAAAAGAGGAGGCATTGTCAGTTAAAGATTACAAAAAAAAAAAAAAAAAAAAAAAAAGGCATGAACTGGCTTCTACTCCTTCCCTAAATCCCAATCAAGAATGGTAAGAGATTACAAAAAGATATAAATCCGCAGGAATAAAAGGAATAAGAGAAAAGGCAATAACAACAAAATTTTGAAAGCAGAAAAGCAGATGGATGAGTAGAGCTGACTTAGCAGAAGCAAAGCTGAACTTTAAACTGGCAACAGCAGAAAAAGCCGAGAAGCACCCCAGTTACACCCCAGAGCCACGTCCTCTCCCCCGAGGCTTAGGTGCTAGCACCCAGCTCCTCCTGGAGCAGGGGTAAAGGGGGGATAACGGGAGGAAGATGGGGTGAAAGTCTTTTTAGAAACGAACTCCCAGGGGCTCCTGGGTGACAGCTGGCTGGGTCCCGCTCAGGTCCTGGCGTCAGGTGGGCTTTGGCTCTTTTTGACCAAGTGCCAGAACCTTCCGGCTTTACTCTCGATGCCCAGAGGATCCAGGGCACCTACTGGTCGGTACATGCCTAAGGAGACAGGTGAGAGGGTGAATGAGCGTGGGAGAGCGGCTCCGGGGTGGGCGGCTGTGACCCCAAGGCCCCCGCAGGCCGGTGCGGGACTCTGTAGGTGCTTCCAGCAGGGCCGTGACCTCACGGGGTGACATGGGGGCACCAGGCCATTGACTCCAGAGCCACACGGGGGTGAAGGAGACACCCCCTGATCTGCAGGGGGCGCCCCTGTGAGAGTCTCACCTGCAGAGAAGGGCGAGTCCCAGGGGTGACTCCCCGAGTCCCGCCGGTGGGTGCACCCACCCATCTCTACTTGCTTTCTTGCTTTTGGGCCCCTTCGTTGTGGGCACCTCCATCTGGGAAGGCTGGCTTTGCCCCCTGAACCCTGTACCCCACACCCCGGGGCCCCGCACCCCGTACCCCTGCACCCCGGGCCCCCATGTCCCCGCACCCCGGGCCCCGCACCCCACGCTGTACTTCTGCAGAACGCAGAGCCGGTTGCTTAGCAACCAAATGAGATGCTGGCTTGACTGGCTGTGGACGCGGGTCCCTAACAGACTGGACCAAAGGCCCGGCAAAGCCTTAAGGGAAGGATGGCGGCTCGGGCAGGGGGCTCACTGCTCGGGCCCTGTTCTCCGTGCCCAGTGCTGTTCCGGACTCGGGGGGGTCCTCACAGCAACCCAGCGAGGGGCACCAGGGTTAGCTTCCATTACCAATGAGGAAACTGAGGC